CTAGTGTCTCCTATTGCATTGATCTTGCAAGGTACTGGGCACTTCAGTCCAATCCACTAAAGATACAAATATCATCCAGTTCTGAGAATCACTTATGCCTTGTCCCCACTGAACGATCTCCTCAACCAAACCCAGGCCACTGGTCTTCTTATCTGGCATTGGTCCCTCGTACCCTTTCCACCAAGCCACGTTCTAGGGATTTCCAATCCACACATTCCCATAACGGGGCTCTACACAGGTGGCCAGCTGGTGTGCTTCCCTTTTTCTATATTTGGGGGGCAGCGTGGTAAGGCTCACATCCTTCTCGACACCAACTGGGGAGAAGGCTACCTGTCTTCTCAGGAAAGGCCCCTTTTCTTGCCATTTTCATTTCTCACTGAGCAGGCTGTGTCCTGAGGTGCCCCAGAATGCCCCCCAGTGGCTTGGGTTTTATCCAGTGAGTTTGTTCAACTAGGGCACCCCACAGTCAGCTCCCACAAAAGCATGAGGTTCATGCTGTTTGGCACAAGGATGACTGTATTCGCCCAACCCCACCACATCCATCCTGCATACAGGAAGTGAGTCCCCCACGCCAGCAACGCAAGGTTCAGATGGGCTGGGTTGGGCTGTTCAGAATGCTCAAAGAAAGGACCCTTTGCCTGGCCAGCGAGGGAGCAATATTCCATTTTGGCAGTCAAGCTTCCCTTCAATCAAAGGGACAGTGTCAATATAATAACACAGCACGTGTCCTTCCCTTGGCCAACTAAATAAGGCTGCTTCTGATTGGAACCACTGGAAGAGCTGGAGAAATCTGATTTGCTTTTCACCCATCCAGGGTTTTGCTGACTGTTTTTGCATTTTACTTAGCTTGACGCTAGTCGTGGTCAGTTTCACTTGTAGGGGCAAATTTTCAAATACTCATCACCCACAATTAGGGTTGCCACCTGTCCTGGCTTTCCTAGGCTGATCCGTTTTTTGAGGTAGCGCGGTGCCCAGGAAACCTGCAAGGGAGCTCAGTGCACGCTGCCAACTCTCCCGTTTTATGGGCTCAGCATCATCCCGGATGTCCTGGCTTTTTCACCCCTCAGAGGTGGCAGCCTTACCCACAACTGGGGCCAGGTTGACAAAAGCATTCAGCTCCCAATCAGGCACCAAAATATATGGCCGGATTTTCAAATGCATTCGACCCCCAGCAGCTCCCAATGTCACGTTTGTGGCCAGGTTTTCAAAAGAGATCAGGCTCTGATGTCCTGAGCTGTTTGGAAAACTGGGCCCTGATGGCGAGGACTGAGCTGTTTGGAAAAGTGCGGGCTACAGTCCGTTTCCCTGCCTGCATCGCAGGCATATCCCAAGGCTCCCCTGCGAAAATGTGAAAAACACTCCACTTTAGAGTGACATTTTGTTCAATCTTCTTCATACAAAAAACCCAAGCTAAATGAAGTATGAACCACGGATAATCAAAACTGTGGGGGCACTTTGTATGATAAATCCAATTCAGATCCATTTTACTTTCCTTGATTTAGCTGTGGTTTAATTATACCACTAGATGCAATACTGAAGGCTTGGTATTGTTCAGCCTGACGGTGTTTTTTCCTCCCTTTATGAGCATCTTTGACTAATTTTTAGTGTTGTATCCTAGCTTGTCTTGAGGCCATTTCTCTTTCTGAGAAGAAATTGACAACAGGCAGGGTCTGATTTTCCATTGCGGGATTTCCATGGAATTGTTACATTGGCATAAAACCAGCAGTGGAGAACCAAGGCCCACATTCTGAAATATTATTAGCTATTCTTTATGAGTCTTAGCATGGAGTTTTTCTATTATTTTAATAGCTTCTGAAATGTATAAATAATTAGTAAATAGAGCAGCAATAGCTCAATGTAGTAGTTTAATTGACATTCCCTTTTGGTAAAAACCTTTATTGCCTGGTATGACAAATACCTACTTCAGCACTTCCTAAAGTGTGGGGTGCATCCCCCTGGGGGGAGACTTATCGGACTAGCTGAGGGGCACAGACTAAGTCTCTCCTTTGTTCTCCAGGGTCTCAGTTTTCATTTAAAAAAAAAAAGAGAAAGTCTCTAGCTGTTATGGTTGAGAAGAAAACTTTGAAAACGTGACCCAAGTGCAACTGACGCGGTGATGTCTGCCTGAGTCTGCAGGGAGCCTGAAACAAGCTCTGTGGTGTGATCTGCCATGTTCATTTCAATGGGCTCTAACTTAGATGCCAATGATGATGCTTCAAACACCAGCATTGTTAACTGTCTCGCTGCTCATCACAGCATGTAAGCAAGGAGGAGACAGCTCAGATTAGGACGATCTACACAATCTACTCTGAGTGACCACTCCATTTGTGTAGGCCTTTAACAACACATGAGGGGGCTAAAGATGTGTGTGTGTGTGTTTGGAGGGGGTGATTGCTTTATTTTTCCTGGACGGGGGCTCAGCTTTCAGAAGGTTGGGGGATGCTAGCTCACTCTGTTGACATTTTAAGTAACAATGTCATTAAATATCTTTCTCTCTCAGGAAGCAACACTCTTATCTCTGTATCTAACCCGACCCTACATAGGGATGGTTGACTAGGAATTCCTAGCCCTATAGTTTTCCATAGACCTGGCCCAATGCACGGATGACAGGGGAGATAATGAGTGACATTACACGTTTCCTGTCCAATGGAAGCTGCAATGTGCCATTTTACTGTGTGAAAGAAGGAGAGGAAAATACTGAGCTAGATTCTCCACTCAGTTACATGACCACATTGTCTCCCTGTAATTTAGTGGATGGGAGGCTAGACTGGGAGTTGGAAACCTGGGTTCTAGCCCCAGCTTGTCTACGGGTTTGCTGCTTGGGTAGGTTTCTTCCCTGCTCACTTTCTCCATCTGTAAGCTGGTGATCGTGATATTTGGTAAAGTGTTTTGAGACACCTGGAAGACAAGTACTATAGTAGACTTCAGTATTTACAACCAAGTCTATGGAGTTATACTGGTATAAGTGGGAAAAGAATCAGGCCTGTTATATTGTATGGAATTATTTTAGTGGTATAGTCAGATTTCCTCTTCTTTCAGAAGCGGTGTGTTTTAAGTGTAGCACTTGAGAGGTCAGGAGTTCCTGAGTTCTAAACCCCCCCCCCCCCCCCCACACACACACACTGACACAGACTCCCTTGGTGACTTTGGCCTGGCTGCCTCAGTTTCCCCAACTGTACGATAGGTGTAATAATAGTGATGTGATAGGACTATTGGAAGGATTTGTTAAAGATGAAAAGTTCTAGGTGTTGTTATTTAGGCGGAGGAATTTTTTTATTATTTTTTTTAAGCCTTTTGATGACACTCCACGGCTATCTCTGTCTGCATTACAAGGGTTCTCACAGACCGTTCCGACTCTGAACTGCTCCCAACACCTGCAAAGCCCAAGTGGATTCCCTGAGGGTACCGGCTGAGGATCTGCAGGCTGATGACACTGCAGATGCGTGGTGCCGTGTTTCTTTGGCAGAGCTGGGTCCAAAACTGGACACCGCAAAATGCATTTCAAAGGAAATCATTGTAGCCTTGTGAGATGGGTGATTTAGCCACAGGCAGCTTGCGTCTGGCACTGCTCCTCTTGCTGTGATGCTGGGCCAGCCAACCAATCCCCAGCCTACAATGTGATGGAAAAGGGTGTGCTTGTTACATTGTATCCCCGGGCACTAGTACTCATTGCAGGAATCGACTGGATCGATTGAACTTGCTGGCCCTGTGAGGTAAACACTAACACGTACAGCTTGGCCAGCTGAGTTCCATGACATTGCTCCTGTCTCAAGACATCAGCAGAGCAGTGGCATGTCTGGAGGGAACAGGGGTGTCAGGAAGAATCCCCCCCGCCCTCCACCTCTCTCCGTGTACAGTATTGCACATCTGGCTAGTGCCCAGCCAGGATCCTCTGAACTGGTCCGTGGCCAGAGCAGGCTGCTGGACGAGGTGGCTTGATGAGCTGACCCAGCATGGCAAATCCATGTGGTTGATTCGCAGGAGAGCAAATGGCACCCAGTGATTTTGTGAATGATGCTGCCCCCACTGCCAGTGTCTGTTGGATTTTTGACATGCCTAATGGATGAGTTGTCAGCGCTATCTGCGGCAAGCCCCTTCCGGGACGGATCTGGTCGCTGCCTCCCCCGGGTGTCACTGGGTGTCCCACCCCCTCCAGTTGCTGAGGCTGCCAGGTGGGCTCAGGCAGCTCCCTGTGGATTCCTTTGACCTCATGAGAGCTGGCGCTTGGGAAGGCAGGGGCTTTGTCGCTGTGCTGTGCTGGGCAGAGAGCTGTCTGGCTCATGAGATGGGAACTGATGGGCTGCTTTTTCAAGTGCACCTCCAAAAAGCAGCGTGGGCTAGTGGATAGTGCTCTAGACTATGCCTTAGGAGATCTGGGTTCTCTCCTTAGCTCAGCTGCCAGGTGACCATCCTGTGCCTCAGTTTCCCCATCTGTAACACAGGGATATGATCCTGAGCTCCTTTCTAGAGCACTTTGAGATCTACTGATCAACAGTGTTATCTAAGAGCTAGAGATTATTTATTAATATCTGTGCGCACTCATGGAGGAATGCATGCTGGCCTTCGGGCTTCCCTCTCCTCTTCCTCTCTCCAGTACCCTTCCCCCAGAGGCCCCTGTGTGAAAACAGAGAGCACTAGAGGGGAAGAGGTAGTTTTGAAAGACCCATCCTCCTGAATCTGCATGCTTGCTGGCCGGTCTTTGTCCCTTTGCATGGCTTAGACTCTCAAGCATCTTCCCAGTTATAGTGCTCACTTATGCAGTACAAAGGAGCAGTCTTTTGGACCTCTTAATTTCTCTCTTTTAATTCACTAGGAAAGGCCCAGAATGCCCCTAGAGGTAGAGTAAGTCACTTCACCCACCACCGAAATGCAGCCACCTCTGGGGAGGAGCACACAGCTGTTTCATACAGCAACACTAGAGAACACATATTTGCTTCCATTTTGCCCTGCTCAGGTTCTGTGTCTGAGTGGTAACGTGTGTCTTTGTTTTCTCATTGCAGAGTCTCTCACTGGATCTGTTCGGTGAAGTAGCAGCAAAGACTTTGCAGCCTTGGACTTCTCTTCTGCAACAGCAGTATTTGGGGGGGAGGGGGGGCAGGGACGGGGGAGGGGAACATCAGAAAAGGTGTCAGGAGACCTTTCACGTTCTCTGCATGCTTGACTCAGGGATGAGCAAAGGCAGAGTCAACGCATACAGCATAGTATCCTCTGAGGAAGACGGGCTGAGGTTGACCACCATGCCAGGAGTCAACGGCTTTGGGAACGGTAAGATCCACACCAGGAGGAAATGCCGGAATAGGTTCGTGAAGAAGAATGGCCAATGCAATGTCGAGTTCACCAACATGGATGACAAGCCTCAAAGATACATCGCTGACATGTTCACGACATGTGTCGACATCCGCTGGAGGTACATGTTGTTGCTCTTCTCCCTTGCCTTTCTGGTGTCCTGGTTATTATTTGGGCTGATTTTCTGGCTCATTGCACTTGTCCATGGAGACCTAGAAAACCCAGCCGGGGATGACAGCTTCAAGCCTTGTGTTCTTCAAGTGAACGGCTTTGTGGCTGCTTTTCTGTTCTCCATTGAAACCCAAACGACGATCGGCTATGGATTCCGCTGCGTGACAGAGGAGTGCCCGATTGCCGTCTTCATGGTGGTGGTGCAGTCCATTGTGGGGTGTATAATCGACTCCTTCATGATTGGGGCAATCATGGCAAAGATGGCCAGGCCCAAGAAAAGGGCCCAAACGTTACTTTTCAGCCATAATGCTGTTGTGGCCATGAGAGATGGGAAGCTCTGCCTGATGTGGAGAGTAGGGAACCTTCGAAAAAGCCACATTGTGGAAGCCCATGTGAGAGCTCAGTTAATTAAGCCTAGAATCACCGAGGAGGGGGAATATATCCCCCTTGATCAAATAGACATTGACGTTGGGTTTGACAAAGGCTTGGACCGTATTTTCTTGGTGTCGCCAATCACTATTCTTCATGAGATCAATGAGGAAAGCCCGCTGTTTGGAATTAGCCACCAGGACCTGGAAACAGATGACTTTGAAATTGTGGTGATCCTTGAAGGGATGGTAGAAGCCACAGCCATGACGACACAAGCTCGGAGCTCCTACTTGGCCAGCGAGATCCTGTGGGGCCACCGCTTTGAGCCCGTCCTGTTTGAGGAGAAAAACCAGTACAAAGTAGACTACTCACACTTCCACAAAACCTACGAGGTGCCGTCGACCCCGCGCTGCAGTGCTAAGGACTTGGTGGAGAACAAATTCCTGCTCCCTAGCACCAACTCCTTCTGCTACGAGAATGAGCTGGCCTTCATGAGCCGTGATGAGGAGGAGGAGGAGGAGGATGATGACAGCAGGGGTCTGGATGACCTGAACCCGGACAACAGGCATGAATTTGACAGGCTTCAGGCCACGATAGCACTGGATCAGAGGTCATATAGAAGGGAGTCAGAAATATGACCCAGGGCCCCTCCGCTAACTGATCTGAGGTTATTTTTCCTCTCATCTCTTCCCCTACCACCTGCTCAACTTATGCAGAACAATGCAAGTGCCATAGGAATGCTTGAGAAATTAGTATTGTTTGTAGTTTTAAGTTTCATTGCAATAACCACTGACCGGTCTGTGATAGGAAACCACAGCAGGCCACAGAGTGTTTTGAACTTCCAGTGTTGATAAAGCTATTAGAAAATGTACTGGAAGCAGATTCAGTATGGCGGCACAGATAAGGGAGAACACCGGGGGCGGGATCTGCAGGAGTACCTTCTTTGCACGCAGAGAGCTGGTGATTTTGTTTTCTTTCACTCTGTGAAAATGAAAGCATTTCCCTGGAGCTGAGCTCTGCGAGGTTCAAAAGGAGGAAATATCAGGAAACAAATCCTTTTGGTTGGTTTCGTTTTTTTTAACTGAACACAAACATTATATATATTTCTGGCAGGAGATGTGATTCGGTTGCACAAGAACGACACTTGAAAACATGTAATGTAAAGTACTCCTTTTTCAATTTGGGGGAAGGGAAATGAGGTTTGAATTTGTCAACTTAGTGCCCGGGAGATTGTTTACCAATAATAATAGTGTAATAATCATACATTCAAAATGTGATTCGATATATTTGTAAAACAAAGAAGGCAATGAAGAAGCTGCATGAATTGTTTTAGGGCTGACTCCCAGGGTGTTCAGCAGGCTGCCTCCTGGTTATTGGCTGGCAAAGCTTTGTAACCGGGTCACAGCACTGACGGGCAGAAGCCCAGTGGCAGCAAAAGCAAGGAGCACAATTACTGGCAACGTAGCACAGGGAATGCTAGACTCTGGGATAAACAAACAATTAATAATAGTAATAATTAAGAATAATAATGAACACGCTGATGGAAATATTTATTTTTGGGGTGGAGTGGGATTGAGCGTGTCTGCTGGGTTATCATTTTTGAGCACTGATATTTTGTTTTTTGCACCTTTGGCTAAAATGAGCGGGATTCTCGTTTGGGGTAAATCAGCTTTGCTCCGTTGAGTAGCTAAGGAGCAAGCTTCTGTTCTGAGTCACTTGTAGTCAGTGGGGTTGTTACTGAGAATGAAAAGTGGCCTCATGGGCCAGCCTTTAAATCAAGGGTGGCCAATCTGAGCTGAGAAAGAGCCAGACTTTACCAATGTACATTGCCAAAGAGCCACAGTAATATGTCAGCAGCCCCCCGCATAAGCTCCCCCCGCCACTCCCAGCGCCTCCTGCCCACCGGCAGCCCCACCGATCAGCACCTCTCTTTCCCTCCCCACACCTCCCGATCAGCTGTTTCGTGGCATGCAGGAGGCTCTGGGGGGGGGGAGGGAGAGGAGCAAGGGCAGTGCAGGATCAGGGGAGGGCGCGGGAAGGGGTGGAGTGGGGGCAGGGCCTGGGGCAGAGCCAGGGGTTGAGCAGTCAGCACCTCCCAGCACACTGGGAAGTTGGCGCCTGTCGCTCCAGCCCCGGAGTCGGTGCCTATACAAGGAGCCGCATAGTAACGTCTGAAGAGCCGCATCCGGCTCTGGAGCCACAGGTTGGCCACCCCTGCTTTAAATGGTGTAAATGGAGCAGCCGTCTACTTATTCACTTCAGATTTACACTAGCTTTGGATCTGCCTCCGTATCTCCAGTGGGACCATTCAGAATGTTTATTTTTTTAAGGAATGGAATGGAAGTTCTAGAAGTCAGGTATTGCCCATTTTCCCCAAAAGTCTGACTCTCCCTCCCCCACAAACAATTCCGTTGTTTTAAACATGAAAACCTATGTGCACTATTTTTTTTGGTCCTTTTGCACAGAGCAAAATTCACAATGCATTGGTTGCCCTCCCTTGTATTAGCGTCTATTCTATTCTTGAGCGTGTTTGTAACTGATGAATTGGACACTGGACAGTGCTACGTGCAACGGCCAAAAAAGAGAACCAATGATTTCTCTGACTCAAACCTCACCTACTCTCAAACCAGGGGTCCCATGCCTTAGAGATGCAAAATTGTTCAGCTGTACACAGCTTTTCCCCAGCACCAGAATCCCTGCTTTGACTTGTTTCCTAGTCAAGCACTCTCCCTCCAGCCTTACGGCATGTCATGTGTCACTCCATATGGGTTCAGCCATGCAGCAAGAACACAGAACAGATCACGGGCAATAAACAGGGCCCACACTGCACACATTACAGGCTATTATTGATTGCCGGCTGCTTGTTATTCCAAAAGGCACAAAAGATCATGCCTGTACTTGCGTGGGAGCTTTTGCTCCCAGAGGGAAAGGACATCGGGCATTTCCAGCACTGCGCAGAGAAAGGATCCATCTAAAATCAGAATGAAATCATTACCGGGCCAATCATTACCTGTGTCCCAGTGGCCTAAGATTCATGTGGCCAGTTGTCACTTTCCTACATACTGAACTTCCCAGTGACAGCTAGTGTAGAGTTCAGAAACTCCTGCTCTAAAAATTCAGACTCCTCCCACTTCAACTAAAGGAGAAACTCTAGTAGCTATTGGCAGTATAGTGCCTATGACACACAGTTGCACAGCTTTTATTCTGTCCAACAGAGGGCAGTGGTGGGTGCACAGACCCACTAGCCAATTCATTTGCTGTAGCATCCAGATCAGTGAAAGAGGGAATGAAAGGGGGGGCCCTGAGATGTGGTCATCAGCCAAATCATTCATTACCCACACTCAGCTCTCGTTATCTTTCCAGGGCATTGCAAACAGTAATGTACATAGCCTCCTCCAGTGCATGTGAGGAGTTAAGTATTGTCATCCCCTGTGGCACAGAAAGGTTAAAGGACTTGCTCAAGGCCATTGAGGGAGTTGGTGTCAGAGACAGGATTAGTCCTGTGCTCAGATCACCTGTCTCTCTTGCGAGAGCTCCCACCTTTTCGTCAGCAGACCTGCTTCTCGGGTGCTGCACGGGCCCTCCTGTACTGCTGCGTACAAAGCACTGGCTGGAATGTGCAGCTTGGATGGTAACAATTAGCTCTAAAGAACGGGAGAGGTCACCAAAACAGAAGTTACTGCTCCGGGGAGTTTTCCTCCAAGTCATCCTGGTACCATTTTCAGCATCCGTTAGCCTTTCAAGCAGTGACTGAAAGCTCCATGCTGCTCACTCAAGGGGCTGCTTTATTTTTGGCTTCCTAAATGATGTGCAGTCCTGCTCTGTGGAGGAAGGGGGGAGAAAGCATCTGCTTCTCCTTGACAAATGTCAGCACGGCTGTGACTATTTTCGTCTGGCCTAACGCATGGGCCTCCTGAATTCTAATCCCAGCTCTGCAAAGGACTTGACATGTGGCCTTGGAGAAGTCTCTTAATATGTCTCCCTCATTCCACCTGTAAAATCAGGGTGCTTCAGAGGGGTGATTGGAAAGATTAACTGTTTCATGTGACTGTCACCCATGCTGCAGGGGTAGGGTTGCTAATTTTGGTTGGACGTACTCCTGGAGGTTTCATCACATGACACAGTCTTTAATTTAACATGCATCTTTAATTCCTGGAGACTCCAGGACAGGACTGGAGGCTGGCAACTGTTGCAATGTCACTGATGTCATGGGAACTCTGTATCAGTGTATGCCAGTGCAGGATGGGCAATGTTTGTCCAGTGCCCTGAAAATGTTCAGAGCTGAGAATTTGTCCCCTGCGTAACTGGAGCCATATGGTCACACAATCAGAGATGGGCACGGCTGCATAGAGACATAGTCACACCCACCCTACAAAGCCCCATGCCAGAGGCATAACTTTTTTGTGTTTCTAAGGCAGAAAATGCAGATGTGATCCCCCCCCCACCCCCTTCCCTGCCCTGGGGAAGGAGGGAGGGCAAGGATCTTTCTTGCGGGTATTATTTATTTATTTTTATTTTTTCTAAAATGCTTTTTTTGGTGGCTTTAGGTTCTTTTGAGAAAGATGCACAACTTTGCTGCTGTCAGGTTCCTTTCGTACTATATATCACGGTAAATATTTGTATATAAAACTGAAAAGAGAGAAAAAAATAGAGATGTCTTTAAGTAAATTATTGCTTTTAAAAAAAATATTATATAATTGTACAGTCCCACCTGGGAGAATAGAATAATATATACATACATATTTTTAATCTACTGCATAGGAGGATGTGAACGAGCTTGTGGAAAACCCATGCAGCCCTAGTGAATTGAATTTCAAAGACTTTTCCTCACTCTTGTTCACACGCCCCCTAACCCGAACATCTCGCTCATGAAGAGCTAGCTCCAGAGAGTAATGTTATATATAATGTATAGTTCGAGAGATGGAATGTGCTGTTACATAATGTATAGATATTTTTTTCTGCCTACCTGTGAGTGCTATAGCTGGTCAGTCTTTTTACAACTATCAGGGAGCAATATAAGGATGTCCCGACAGTTTCCTCTCGCTAATAGCATTATTGCATCAGAACGCAAACATTCAAAAAGAAAATAAGCCAAACAAAGTCTGTGTATTTGACATTTGTAAAGAGGACCACCTCCCACCCGTCAAGAAGCTTGCGATGCAGTGAGCAGGCTACAAAAGGCCACGCTGAGAGCGCTCTTCATGCACATTGTATGTGTCGACAAGCCAGTCACGCAAAAAGTGTTTTGCTCTTAAAAGGGGTGGCCCTGGGTATGGTCTTGGGTGTGGCCAACCCATTAATGAACGAGGGTTTGCCTTTGAAAAGCGCAGCCTTCTGAGAGGGATGTGACACCACGCTGAAGGGCTGGAGTGGAATAGGTCAGGAGTCACTGGACGGAGTTACTCTGGATGTACACGGGTACAACTAAAGCAGAATTTGCCATGTGAAGAGATACTCTATCAACTTCAGTCCTGGTGTCTTCAACCTGGATTCCACACCAATCTCAGCCCGACTCAGGGATTTCCTGACAGGCCAAGCAAGACGGGATTCTCCATGTGATTGGACAATGTTTGGTCCAATCTCTGCCAAGCTCTTTGTGTTTCTTTGGTTGGTGTGTGGGATTGTTTCGTTTGTTTGTGTTTAATTTCCTGAGTTCAGGGACAAGTAGGAGACCTTCATAGCCAACCGGAGACCGACACCTTTCTGGAAAGGGCTTTTTGAGCAGAGCAGGTGAAGTGGTTGCTAGGCGGAACACCTGCCAGCCATTTCCTTGAAGCTTAAAACCCTGGTTATGTCTAGTTAACTCCCTGGTGTGAGTTCTTGGTCCTCAGAGAATCTTTGACATCAGAGATGGAAATGACCCACCAAGTCCTCTCTGCCATCCCGTCTGTATATAATAAACCCTCCCTTAGTCAGGGCTCGAGCAAACTTACATAAGTAACAGCTTTGGAAAGGAATCAATTTGATTGGCTGGCTGGGACCCTAGGCCAGATCCTGCTCTCATTTCCACTGGTGCAGCCCCAGGGAAGTCAGGTTGCACTAGTGAAAGCAGAAACTGGTCTCTATCCTAAGATCCCTGGTTCAAGAGCATATTCCCTGCTTCCTCAAATACAGCTAAACCCTGAGGCTTTGCAGAACAATGGCTGCTCAGTCTGCAATGGGGAAATCGAATCCCCATCCCTCCCACCCAGGGGTTGGCAGAAGGTCTCCCTTCCCTCCTTGGATAGTTTCTGGGTGACTCTTAGCACAGCTCTTTCCAAATGATCGGGTATACAGGATAATTCAGCTGTTGCTTGCATACAGGGAATGGAAACTGTTGTGATCAGCCTTAGCTGCTTCTTATTTAATCTAGTGCACTTAGTCTTTAGGGCTGGGACAATCACTTACTTGTAACCATTTGAGATTTGGTGCCTGCTTGACCTTCAAACCTTTTGTAGGAGATGAATTCAAAGCCACCTTTTCTATCTTTAATAAGGCAGAACAAATGTGTTTATTTTTAAACTTTCCTGCTCTTTTCTTTTCACTTGTGCTGAAGACCAAAAGAGTCACTCCTCTTTTCCTTGCACTGCAAAAGGCAGGAGTGAGTCTATAGAGCATATGTAAAAGAGAGAAGCCTAAAGCTGCACACGTCTGAGCTGGAGCCACTTCTCAAACCCCTCGCAATTCAGGGATGCTGGGATCTTGGGTGTGGCTTGTCCGGTTGTAGAATTAAAGCTCAGCCTTGAAATGTGGATTTGGGTTTGGATCTAGAGAACCCCAAACTCTCAAAAATTTCAGGTGTATTTCGATCTGGATATTCGTTTTAGGCCCATCTTCTAATAGCTACGATTAGTGCAGAATCCTCTTTGAGTCCCCTGTTCAGCAAAGCACTTTAGCATGTGCTTAAAGTTAGGTGCATGCTTAAGTGCATTGCTTAATCCTGTGGGTGTGCTATGGGTGAATCAGAGCCATAGGGCCAACTCCTGAAGCCCTTATTCATGCCTTCTCAAACTGACATCAATGGGAGCGTTGCCTGAGTAAGGAACATCCTGATTTGGTCCATCATGAACCATTTTCCTCCAAAGAGCTCAACTGGCAGATGGTGATGCAGAGAGAATTTGTTGAATTTTCATGTTCTTCTGTTCTGAAAAGAGCTTCATTGTCTTTGACTTTGCTGTTTCTCTGCTCCACCCTCCATGTGCCTGTGTGTGTGTACTGAAAAGCCAAATGGACGTTTTCTCCAGACCTCGCTGCCTTTGGCTGGTGCTTTAATGGTCCCCAGTTGACAATGGAATCTGGAACTGATTCTCCAGTGCCCTGATTCACAACTGAGCCTTGTGGAGTCACTCTCACTAGTACAAAGTGAGTGAACAATCCAACCATTCTGACCTGGATGCATTTGATGCTCACTTTGCACTGGTGTCGGGACTTGTCTAGACGGTGTGGCCATGTGCACTTAGAGGGATCTGAATTGTAAATTGCACCAATGTGTTATGCACTAACTGGCCCGTGTGGACCCTG